ATTGTAGAACATTGGCTGCCCAGTTACCTAGTTACTTAATTACTTGATTCTAATAAATACCTTAAATGTGCAAAGAAAACTAAGGGTTCACTTACTATTTCACATACTGTACACTGCTTGTATTTTTTACTTCATACACCAATGCATCTAAAAAAATACTGAATCAGTCACTTTAAAACAGTTTAGTTACTTAAGAAAATATTGTTCTTGATTAAACAAGGATATACTGTAAGAAACTGTCATTCCCATTATTATGTTGGGGAGTTCACAAACATGTTCTTGACACTGTAGCAGAGGTGTGATTAGATTAAACTACTATGGTATCTTTTTTTCTATTAAATTATAAATTGTCTCCAGTTCCAGTATTTCTTTCATCTTGACTTTGAATTTGTACCAAATCACTGCTGAAAAATAAACATCTTTAACTATTTGATTATAATGTAAAAAATGTCAGAAATTTGTTTTTCAAGGCCTTTAAATGTATGTCATGCATGCTGCTTTGAAATTTAACAAGGAGCTTGTCAAAGGCTTTGATTTTCATTACACTTGACAAAGGCCTTTCTTTATCATACCTGTAATCAGAAACAGGACATGCAACTTTAATGAAACAGAAAAAACAATCCACCACAACCTATGCAGTACATTCTACTGCCAAGAATACAACATGCTTTGCTTTGTGCGTGTTGCAGATTTGAAATGAAGTGCATTGACTTATTTTGGGTAAATCTTTTAAGCTCAAATCAAGAAAACATCCTTTCTTATTAGGCTAGAATCAAACCAAGTTCAAGATTCAATCCTTAAAAATCTTAGATGACAGAGCCTCTTAACTGTGAATCTTGTGAAATAAACATTATATATAGATAATAAAGCCAGAGGCTGGTTGTGCAAGCTGTCATATTTTTTTTTATCTATAACCAGCAGGATTTTGCAGGGAATTTTCCATCTGTGCAAAAGCTGAACATGGAAGGGAGTTATTAAAGGAGCAAGACAAAATCATTTCTGCTTTCATCGTGCCCCAATAATACTTGTGTTAGCACAATTTATTTAAGTGTCTAAATATGCCTTACCCCTTTCTATTGCTTTGACATGCACCAGGAATTAGGCACAGTACATCTCCAAGTCAAATTCTGAATTCTTTCATTCATGTTTTGTTCTCTTGCATTATCCTTTATTTTAAGAAGCCTCCTACACTGTACCACAACCAGGACTGAAGTTTGTCCTTATTAAATACAAAGAGGAGTTTTCCATTTCTCAGACACTGTAAAACAACAGAGAGAAATACTTCTCCCGGTTTTAATTTTAAGTTGCTGTGGTTTTGCAGACATAGCACATTCTTCCATTAGAGAGGCATATTTTCTGCTGTGCTGTTCCTCCCTTTCTTAAACTATACCAATATTACACTAAAATATCTCCATATAAAAAAATTGGAGGATAGAAGTGAACATACGATATTAAAAATCAAGCCCTCCTCCTTTACCAGGTCTTCCTCTACTGTCTAGGGAGGAAGCTGTCATACTGTACTGTATGTCTTATTTTTCTTTCACAACTGTACAGTATATGATGTTGCTTAATGAGCTTTGTTCCCATTATTAGATAAGATAAGATCAGATCATTTTATTGGCTATATGTGGGGTGTATAAGTGAAGGGAGGGAGGAGGAATATACTGTAGGAGCTTGATTACCAGCTTTGTGGAGTGGTGTCATCTTAACCATCTCCAGCTAAACACTAGCAAGACTAAAGAGATGGTCATGGACTTTCCGAGGAATAAGTCTCCACTTAACCCTGTTTCCATCCAGGGTGAGGACATAGAGGTGGTGCAGTCCTACAAAAACTTAGGGGTACACCTGGATGATAAGCTGGAGGGGACTGTTAAAACTGACGCCCTGTACAAGAAAGGTCAGACACGACTCTATTTTCTTAGGAGGCTCAGGTCCTTTGGTGTGTGTGGAACACTGCTACACATTTTTTATGAATCAGTGGTGGCAGCAGCCATCTTCTACACTGATGTTTGCTGAGGCAGCAGCATCATGGCAAGAGATGTAAAAAGGCTCAAAAAACTCATCGAGAAGGCTGGCTCTGTGCTGGGGTTGAGCCTCGACTCCCTGGAGGTGGTGGCAGGGAGGAGGATGCTGACAAAGCTCACAGACATCATGAACAACACCTCTCTTCCGCTACATGGGACTGTTATAAGGCAGAGGAGCACTTTTAGCACCAGACTGCTCCAGCTACGGTGTTCAAGGGAACATTTCCGCAGGTCCTTCCTCCTGGCAGTTGTCAGGATGTATAACACTGCCATTGGCTAGGACTGTTAGCCCTTCATCTGCTCATCTATGGACAGCATGTTGCACTATTGTACTTTTTGGACACTCAATCTGTATATACCTATGCACATTTTGCACATATTTTATTGTTTTATAGTGACTATGAGTCACACACCTTATTTTATATTTATTTTGTATTGCTGTACTTATTTTAATTTTTCGTCTATTCTGATGTCTGTTTTTGCTTGCCTTGGACTGGGCTGCTGTAACACCTCAATCAATAAAGTCTTATCTTATCTATCTATATACAATTTCTTGTATTAGGAATTTGTCTTTTCACATACCCCACCTTGCTCTCCATGAGACACACAGACAGGGAGAGAAGCTTGGAGTCAGAGCACAGGGTCAGCCATTTATACAGCACCCCTGGAGCAGTTGGGGTTAAGGGCCTTGCTCAGTGGCCCAATGGAGTAGGATTCCTCTGCTGGCCGCAGGATATGAACTGGCAACCTTCCAGCCACAGGCGCAGATCCTTAGCCACAGAGCCACCGCTCCGCCTTCACCTCACTGCCCTATCACTACAATATACTTTCTATATTTAATCTGTCATTTAATCACATGAATGTTGATTCTGTGAATGAAAGATAGCTCAAGAATTCAGGAGTCTTTCAAAATGGGAAGTTTGGGTTTCACGTGAGACCAAGAACAACTGTACCAAGGGATTATGAACACTGGATGAAATGTAAACAAAATATTGCGGTACATAAATAGCTGTGTGGTTACAAAGTACTTTGTTTCTAAACAGAATTGCTTGGGGATCTTATGACTTATAAGGTTCTGGCTATGGTGACATTATCTACAGTTACAATTGGTCAAAGTCAGTGAAAGACAATCTGAGGAACTCTTGAGGAAACAGTTTCAAATATCATTGCCTTGAGCAAGCTTATCCTGTGTAGCTGTTACATTTCCTTAAAGTATACAATGATTACGTCAATTATTTAATAAGTAACAAACTACTTAAATAACCCCCACAAAAGAAATACATCTCACAGTCTGTAAGTTAAACTGTATTATATGTTTTGAAAATCCACAAATGGGCTAAGCATATGGAGCTGGAAGGGGAAGGATCATTAACAGATGGAATGTCAACACAGGTATGCTTTTGTTGTCACTGATTGACCTGGGGAGAAATACATTGTTTTGGTTCTGCCTTGGTTGGTGGAACCCTGAGCAAGTAACAGGTGCTCTAGAGACTGGATTTGTTCTATATTGTTTTGAAGAGTTGTTTAGAAAATAACAATTACTAATCTTTTTGAATAAAGATTTTGTGTGTGATTAATATATTTTTTCACTTATTAGTAAGGGTTCTTTTATGAGTTGTCTATGCCTAAGTCAGCATCCCACAGCCAATACCTATAGAGATTGTCACTGGGGGAGTATGTTAACCCAAAACCTTGATTATTGCAAGATTCCAGATATATACACTCCCCCTGGGATAACACAGCATGTTTTTGTAGCTTTCTAGAATGCAATGTAATGAATAACTTATCTAGGCAATTTCAATTTTTTGCTACCTACAGAAGATGTAACAACCTTAAGTTTATCAAGACATTAAACATTGTAGTTCTTCAAAGGGAATGAATGAAAAATAAATTCATTAGAATGTATAGAGATGTTGGCATTTCTCACTACTATTTCACAATAATTGATTAGATGACAGAAAAACAATGAAAATAATATGATTCTTCAGAACATGGGCACATGGAAACCGTAGAGCAGAAAAAAAATGAGATTATAAATAACACACAAACAAATCTGACTACTCTTCTTCCTCTGTTGAACTATTGCAAACTTCTGCCACAATTGTTTTCTTAAGCACTTCATCAGTACAAATATCTTTAAAACCTTTTGAAAACAATACTGCATTGTACAATATCAGATCTGCCAAAATGCTTTGGTACAACAAAAGAAATACCTCAGGGAAATTTCAAGTGGTAAAACCAGTAAAGGTATTCTTTCACAGCTTGGGGTGAACTCTATATTATAGCAGACATCTCTGATTAAAGCTTGGGTGTTGTCATTATCCATACAGTAACTGGAATTTCACAAGGGCACACATGGCCAAGTAATGCCAAGTTTGATATGTTCTGAACTGCTACCCAGCCATTAACTGATCCTGAACTTTTCTGAGTGCATCTTTATAAGTGAGGGCTGCATCGATAATCCAATCCTTACTAACGTCCCTGCCAAACACTGTAGGATTCATAGGATGAAAGGTGACAGATGGCTCTGTACCTTTAGAAGAAAGCATGCATGGTTCTCACCAACTACATGGTAGTAGGAGGATCTCAGCAGCAAAATACAGTTGATTAACAACTGGATATTTCAAATTACAGCATAAAGTGGAATCAAAGTTAAAATCCAAGATTTAAAATGTGGGACACTAAACTAGAACATGATATAGATGCCAGTTCACCCAGAGAAACAGTGCAGATATAGAAACAACATAACTATATTTATTAAGTAGGAAATTCCACTCATGATTAAATTGATATGATACTCCAGTCAGAACGAAACCACAGAAAGCTCCCAAACCACTAAGTTCTTCTGAGGCCACCTGGTATACGTCAATCCCAAAAACCAATTTAAAAAAATGATGGCAGTCCTTTCTTTTTGCAGCCTCCTTGCTAAATGTGTGAAATTACCCTTAGCCATGTGTCAGAAAAAAGTCTGGATACCTGAGAAGGTAGACAGCTCGCTCAATATCATTGAGGTCTTCATCCACAGTCAGCTTTTCAATTTCCTCTGCAGTCTGCAAGGTAAGATAGAGTTAAGGAGGAGGTCTTTGTTTGTCACTGAAGTATGCATAAGACTCAATGGCAGTGATGATACTATTAATATACAATGCCGTGCAAAAGTATTCAGAACCTTGCACTGTTTTCATGTTATGTGACTTTAAAGCTTGTAGTCATGACACTTTGAAGTAGCAATTACTTGTCATATGCACAACCTATTCCAAACCTAAATTAATTAAGGTGCACAATAGTATATTAACAAGCCACACAATTACAGTAGTTGAGTGGCCTCTGTCTGTTTGCCATAATATTGGCTCAGATTTCAGATTAAGTACGAGTAACTCTCTGACGTCCCCCAGTGTAGCAGTGAATTTCAAGCCAAGACTCAACTATGAAGACCAAAGAATTTTCTAAACAACTCATTTATAAAGTGGTAGAAATGCACATATCAGGAAAAGAGAGTGAAACATTTCAGACCATTAATATCTCTATGAGCATGAGGAAATCAATCATTAAGAAATGGAAGGCACCCAAACCCTGCCTAGACTAGACTGGCTCTTCAGACCAAGCAGCAATCACTGTTCATTGGCTCAAATGGTAGAAACAATATTTTGTTCACTTCACAAAGGGTGCTTGTTGGTATTGAAAAAAACATCTCAAATCACATGGAGTTTGCAACTAAGCTCCTGAGTGGCACTGCAAATATGTGGCGAATGGTTTTGTGGTCAGACAAGACAGGTTTGGAAAACTTTGGTCTAAATGCAAAGTGTTGCAAACCGAATAGAAAGTATTGCTACAGTACAGTAAGTCAATGCCATGCCAACAGTCAAGCCTATAGTTCTGATTCTCCTCAGCAGGAACTGGGAAGATTCTCAAGGCTTGAGAGAATAGAGTTGGAGTAAAACACTAGCAAATCTGATAAGAATATCTGCTTCAGACCTAAACTTAACTAAAATTCAACTTTCATCTGAACAATGACCAAAAGTGCAGAGTGGCCCTGGAGTGGCCCAGTCAAAGTTCCATTTCAGATTCTGTGGAAAGACTAGAAAACTGCTGTTCATATACATTCCCCAAGCAACTTGACATAACAAAGTGTAAAACTGCCTAGACAAATGAGCAACATTTACACCAAGACAGTGTGTACTGTCACAGTGGTACTCAACTAATAACACTTGTCTGCGATTGCTGCCAAAATTGCTTGCATCAAAAATTGAATTCAAAGGTCTGAATACTTATTCAATCACTATGCTCTATTTTTCTTCTCTTCTAATTTGCAACAAATGTGAGTTTTGCTCACATTTGTTGCAAATTACTTCCTCTGGAAGTCTCCAGTTTGAGCACTTGGGTTCTGAATAAAATACTAGGTTTAAAAACAAATCGGAAAATGGGACACCATAAGAATGATCTTAACACTAGCACTGTACTTATATATTTAGTGTGAATAAAAAATCCAAACAGAATGTGTTGACTAGATTACTAAGTAAAAAGTCAAGCCCTGTAATGAGGGAGGTTTCGGACTATGCATAAAAGCAAAAAATCAAAATCAACTCATATGCTGCACTCTGGAACATACACATGCACAATTCCAAATTGCTTTATTATATAATTTTTGTTAACCAGGTAACCACTGACCTAAACAACTCAAGCTCAGGCATAACCCAGTCAAATAGGTGAGTAAGCTTTGCCAGTGACTACTGGCACTGTATTGTACCAGGCCATCCAAGCCACTAATAGTGCACTACACTTGGTCGACATCATGTATCTACAAAAAATACTACATTCAGAGAACAACAGCAGAACTGAATTGCCCTCTTTCATTTAAAAATGACTCAAACGAACGTTACTTCACACAATATGGAGTGCTGCACAATGAAATATGTTTCATTCTTGAATGTAGGTGGAGAGGAGGTGGAGTGTGTGGATGGAGGAGTAGGAGTAGCCTATTACTTGAATGCCTTTTTCATTGTAAAAGCTGTCATAGAACCCCAGACAAGAAAAATAACTCTTTGAAAATACCCATTCCCCCAGGAATATCGTATGATGCCACCGAACCTGAAAACACCGCACTAGACTAAACACCTGAAAACCACATCAATGCACAATAACATTAATATCACTTGCTTTCCATCACAGTATGTCTCAACATGCTGTAAAAGTACATTATAAGGTAATCAAACTGAAGAATAATTCCCTCAAAAAATTAATCAATCACGCAAGCAAGGGTAAACATTAGGAATGATTAAAACGATTATATATCACGTTTAATAAAATGTAGCATCCGCAAGTTTACAAATCGTAAACCATTTAATTGTTCAGTGGGTTAAATGCATAGTAAGGTTTCGGCTGAGGTCTTTCAGTATTAATTTAGTGTCCAGCGAACAACATTATTTTCACAAACCCGGAGACCCGGCGAAAGGATTCCTCCAGAGTGAATTCTGACAGAAAACTGCGTCACGCACTAAAAATGGGGAACCCCCATTACATAGTAAGCTAGTTTTAGAGGCTCATTTGCAGTAAGAGCAGTGAATTTAATGTTTTAACCAACAAGATACACACAGATTAATTTCAGACAGATCAAGAATTCTAAATGTTGTCGTAAATACTTGTATGTTACAGAATGCATCAAAGAGCACGTACTGTTAACATTGAAGAATATTATATACAAAGTGTAGAATACAACATGCAGCATAAATTATGCTTGAATACCATAATTTGAGATACATTTCATCAGCTGTTGCCCATATCTTTTCAGCTGCTCAATGAAATTTTAAAATCGTTGTGAACGTGTAATTTATCCCCAGATATATACATTATTCATTTATGTAACACTATTAACCGTATGTCTACCAATCTGCGTTTTAAATGGTCAAATTTTAGCAGCTGGACAGCTTTTTTAGAATTAATGAAAGTGTCTTTTCAGACAATTATATAAATATCATATCTGAAATACCTAAAATTCACATTAAGCATCTTATTTGTGAAAATGAAGTTACACATTCCACAAAAAATAATGGAAAGATACAGATTACATTTCTGACATACGAACAGATACAGACAGATTTACAAGATTCACAAATACCGTTTTTAATGTGTTATATAAATATTAAAGTACCTTCAGACTCCTGCGTACAGGTCTTTCAATGATTGCGAGGTCTTGTAGGTCATCTATTTGCCCGAACAAACTGGACTGGTTCAACGTCATTTTGTTGAAGTATTAAGTCTAAATTTTCTCTCTGCTGGTATCAATGCTCTATCATGATCTTGTCTCTGCCGTGACTGAGCAATAGGTTTCTTTGATTTGGGGAAAGCTGAATTCCACCCACGACAAAGCCTCTTTCGGCAAAACTGTATGTTGCCTTACAGCCTAGAGGATTACAGTCGTGTCAGTCTATAACATTAAAACATAGGTATCCGGAGTGTTTCTTCACATGATTATTTTGACTGATTTGAATAACTTTGAAAACATGTTATCATATACTCTATCGACGACCATTTAGTGTAATCTACAGTTCTTTAAAATGTCCTGGTCTCGCCACAGCACAGGATATTTTCCTCGACAAATGCTTTCAGGTTGAAGTTCTTTGAAAAGCCTATAGGCAGCGTCTGCTCTTTTCGTTAAAGAACCAAAGGAAGGATTAAACGATGTCAGTTCACGCGAAAACTCAGTGTCCACCCAGTTATAACTTTTAGCCTCTTCCTTGACTGTTTTTCAGTCTCTCCTTTTCAGCGTTACATACAGTAAGTCCTCTACTCTATTCCTTCTATAGAGGCCGGCTCTTCATGTAAAATTATTCAGTCTGACGATTTCTGCATACTGCATAGGCAACTATTGTACAGTTCACTTGGCATTAAATAGTTAAGGTCTTCAGTTTTAAAGTCTTAATCAAACCCAATAAGGCGAAAATACGTTTTGCTACACTTGCACTGCTACCGACAGCCTGGAAAGGGATCCCTGGACTGACATTCACTATCCACACAGAGAGAGCTGCACAGTGCAGCACCTAAACCGGTCTCCATGGAGACGCGGCACTACAGCAAGCCGTGGCTCAGCGCTGACAAATTTACCGCACTGTGCGTTAAAAAAACACAGCCGCGTCGGAGACCTGACAAAGCCCCATGCTATAGTTCTTTATTATACCCCTTATTTACAGACAAGGTTTATCTACGAATGTGTCTTTGGTTAATAATCACACCTTACAGTGACCTAAGATATTAACTTTAAACAACTGTGTTGGTATGGCCATTGTGTTTCTTTTTTTAAAACGAATCACTGATACTGCATGTTTGGCATAGTTAAAATATTTCCATATTAGTAGATAGTAGACAATAATTTATTTTTACATATTAATATTCAGTATTGAAAGTTTGCTTACTGTAGTTAAACGTCAAATAACCAAATATAAAATGAATCGGATCCGTATTACATATATATATATATGTCAACTTAACAGGCAATACTGTTTCTGATGCCAAAAAAAATGACAGGGTACATGCTATGTAATAGGTTATCTGAGCTTTGTTTAACAAAATGTAACCTTCGTACAGTCAGACGATGCTGTTTAGTTTCACTAGCTAAATATCGCCATCACATACATTTGGCCTCAATGTTTTCAACACATCTTTACAGCAGTTAATTTGAATTACTCACAAAACAGTAATACGTTTTATTTCTTAACTACGACAAAATGAAACAATTGTCGATGCAGTCTAACTGTGTGTGATTATATGTGAAGGAAAACGCGTTACTTGATTTTGAATTTTCACATTTAAATCAGCGGAAATACAAATAGAGTTGTATGCAAAATACAAAATGATCCTGCAATTCAGCATCCGACAATTACCAATGAAACAATAATAGTAAAGCCGGATTGCAAGAACAACCTCTAACATTCAAACCAATTTGTTAAAGCGTGCTTGCATTTTGTGACCTGTTAATAAAGTTATTCAAACCTACTCGCATGTGATTGGTTCACAATGCTTGTGCCCTCCTACATTGACATGGCTGCGCCCTCGTGCAAAGTGTGAGTGTTTCTTGTTTTCATGTGGAATGTAGATGATCCATATTGTCTTCAAACGAGAAAGCTATCAAAAAAGTGATAAATTCATTTTATGTACAGTGGGTGCGTGGGTATTTTTGTTAAAATGCCTGCTGGTGGCATACATCTTAAACGTTTACCATCATAATGCTTTGCAATTTCAAAGCTCTATATTCTACGCTAGATGAAATGTGGCGTTGCGGTAATACAGAAACAGTATTTAGAAACATTTACTGTTCTTTTTCTTTCAGTGTAAATTGGGTATTTATACATTGCATGATAAAACTTATGTAGCCTAATTCTTAGAATTAAAGCTGCTACTATCAGTTCGTAATGATGCAGAGAAAGTGAATATTACAAACGTTCTTTCTTTGATGATTATTGGGTTTTTTTGTAAGTCGTGTTTATGGTGAAGAAAACGAATTAAATAGCCCTTGTTTTTATACAGCTAAAAACCTATATTAACCATTTATATTATCTTTACTACATAGTGTTAATTAGAGAGATTGTATTTTATACGGGACATTTAATAATACATAATTTTAATTGGAAGCAATATTAAGTTTAGGTTCACAACAAAGAAGAAGGTTTCCAGTCTTCAGAAAGGTTAATTTGACCTTGTCTTTGTGTTTCAGAAAAATGAAGACTAAAAGATCAAAGACAAATGTTTTTAAGACCATGTTCAAATCCAAACGGGGTATCCAGGTGAGAGGAAAGTGGAGTCCAGTAGAGATCGACCCTGATCTCTTCTCAGAAGAGAACATGGGAGGGCTGATATGCTTTGAGGAACTCAGAGACTACAAGCTTGTTGACTCTACATTCACCGAGGAGAAGAAAGGCAAGAAAAGAAAGTTGGCAGTCGAGGAAGACTGTAATCCTGAGGTCAGTGATGGACAGCCAAAGCAACCTGCTAAAAAGAAAAAGAAGAAGAAGAGTCAGACTCAGAAGGTGGAGCCTGGAACTGGAATTGAAGCAGATGGCGAAACTGCCGTAGCTGTTCCACCAGTGGATGATGATTCCACTCTTCAGGAAGACAGTATACAAACCCAGACACAGCTGAAAAAGAAAAAGAAGAAGAAGAAGAAGAAGAAGAGTCAGACACAGAAGATGGAGCCTGTAGGTGATACTGAAATTGGAAATGAGGCAGATGGTGAAGATGCAGAAGACGTTCAAGGAGTGCCACAAGTGGAAGATATGTCCTCTCTTCAGGAAGATGGTATACAAACCCAGGCACAGCCAAAAAAGAAAAGAAAAAAGAATAAAACAGTAGCAGAGCCTCAGGTAGCTGAACTTCCAAAGCCTAAACAGAAGGTGAAAAATTGGACCAGTGCTGCCCTTTCAGGGTCAGGAAGTCAGATGTTGGATACGTCTGCTTGGAAAGATCTGTTCATTCCAGAACCAGTCCTCCAGGCACTAAGCTCCCTGGGATTTAAGGCACCTACTCCTATTCAGGCTTTGGCTCTTCCTCCTGCCATCAGAGACCATATGGACATATTAGGCGCAGCTGAAACAGGTGAGTGAAAACCGATGCTGTTCTTTGAACAGAACAACATCACTACCAATATCTAGTGACAGTATAACTGAAAATGCTGTGGGATCAAATTTGAATCAGTCTGGTCTGGATTCTGATGTGCTCTACAAATGTCACTGGGCTGAGAGTCCTGTTGTCTAGCAAGAGATGAGTTTACTTTTGAACATGGTTTTGTGGGTCAAAGCGGAATAGACACCAGCACCCTGTACAGATCCTTTTTTACAAAGAATAACAGAAGGTATAAATGAGGAGCTGCATAAATCAGCAGATTGCAGTCCTAGTAGAGCTACCCTACCATTAGTTTCCTTGGCAACAGTAAGACACCAGCAGGTACTGGTTATAAAAGAATATACAGTACTTCACTATTTGTTATGTTAGGGTGGCTGTTATTTTATTATTTATCATTCTGTATGTTTATTTATTGTTTAAAATACATACAAAATTTAATTACATTTGTTTTCTTATCTTGGTAACTGAATACATTATAAGAAATCAATTCAAATATCCCTTGAAATAATCCCAGCCAAACCTCTATTAAAATGGTTGATGTGCAAATTACTTCTGGCATTGTGAAAGCAAGTAACATTTCAAAACGGACACAGGTAAATATTTCCTGTTTGTGATTATACGTTTGATTTTTCCCCGTGTGAATAACACCATCGGTTCATTATGCATATCCCATGCCTATCTTCAACCAGGAAGCGGAAAGACTCTGGCTTTTGGCATCCCCATGATCAATGCCATTTTGGAGTGGAGGAAAGCAAAGGACGGGCAGAGCGAGGAGATGATTGACAACCCGAAAGAACATGGGAGAGAAGTGGGGGCAGTCTGTCTGTCTGGGCCAGAACCCCAGGAGACACCAGCGGACGGGGATTCAGATGGGGATTCAGAAGAGGACTGGGAGGGGGACAGTCACTCGCAGAAGCTGGGTTGTGTTAAAGTCATAGAGGATATGGAGTTTGACTTCAGTTCCAATCAAGAGACTAATAAGTCCAAAATGGAAGACAAGCGACAGAACCCGTTGCTGGGGCTCGTCCTCACCCCAACTAGAGAACTTGCAGTCCAGGTGAAGCACCATCTAGATGCTGTGGCAATGTTTACAGGTCAGTAGTCAGATTCAGGCACCAGTCCTCGGAAAAAAATCACACTACACAAAGTGCTCTCACTCTGTTTTATCAGTACATACGGTAAAAGGGCTGAACGTTTTTTTTCTTGGCAAGCCGCCAGGATAAAAAAAAACCCTGTCGTTCTTCAGGACTGGGCACAGGACACAGTTATTTACAGTCTTGTAAATAGATTCTTATTTTCAATGAATATCTGTATGTTAAGAACATAAAAAGTTACATTCAGGATGTCCTTCTAGCCCATTGATGTGCTAGCAGCTAATCCGATAATCTCATCCAGTCATCTCTTGAAAAAAGTCAGAATATTGGGTTCAACAACGTGGGAGTTGTTCCAGACTTCCACAACCCTTTGTGTATATATGTCCTTTCCCTTAGTTTCCTCTTGTATTCTCTGGTTTGTACTTTACAATGTCAATTGAGTTGACTTTATCAGTACCTTTGAACATTTTAAATATCAATCAAGTCCTCTCATAGTCTTAGTCTTATCTGTTCAAGACTGTATAAGCAGGTAAAAGTAGGTAAAGACATTATGATTCTAGAAAAATGTGTGCTTCTTCAGTAATTCATATTTGCTGTACTGTGGTTCATATGTGCTGCACTGAAAAGTTAAATCCGCATGAAAAATTGGTGAAAAATCAACTTTTGTCTCTAGGCATTAAGACTGCCATTGTTGTTGGTGGAATGGCTCCACAAAAGCAAGCAAGAGTGCTAAACCGCAGGCCGGAGATTGTGATCGCCACACCAGGACGTCTCTGGGAGCTGATTAAGGAAAGACATCCTCACCTCTCTAATCTCAAACGGCTCAGGTACGATATTTGCAGCCACTCCAAACCCATGTTTTGGATTTCAAATCTATTAATTAGCACACAGAGTGCACATTCATTGGATAAGATGCATTATAGGAAATTTGGTTTGTCTTTATGACACATTGCCCAGTGCCCACTGGATTTGAATGTCTGAAATTTTAGATTTTGTTTCCATGAGAACTATGAAGTAGTTTTAAACTGAAAAGTTAATATTTTACTTGCCTATTTTTAAGACATTAGTTTAAATAATACAATTTTAATAATTGTGTTAACTCTTTAAAATATTGACATTTTATAATTTTTCCATGATGATTGTAACATTAGAACAAATAAAAGTCAAAGAATTATATTTATATTGTAGAATTGTACACATGGGTTCAATTGCAGTGTTATTGGATTTTTATATTTAGTTGAAACTTCTTAATAAATGAAATGATCTAAATAATTTTATTTGCAACCGTCCAATTAAAGACTGACTACACTATAATTTCAGAAGAATATTAGTTTGGAATTCAGAGCTCTCTTAAGTAAATGAATCTTCATTTCAGTTAGAAAAAAAACAGAGGAAGAACTATCCTTTTATATCCAAATTAACGCTCTGAATTCAAGTAAAACGTTTCTTTAAAATAATGACTCATCAGCATTTCAGGGTTGTGTGTGCCTAGTGGCTACATTTTGCACTAGCTGCAGTTTCTCCCAGCTGCCTCATTATAACTTAAGTTAGAAGCTACTTCAGTTAGTCAAGCATTTAAAAACCTGTAGACCTAGTGACGTCTTGTGAGAACTGTCAAAGGTCTTTTCCCTGGCTTGTCTGTCTAGTCAGTCTATATCTTGCAATACCAGCGTTTCTTACTCTGAAGGTCTTTAGGTTTCAGAAATTGTTGTCAGACAATAGCTTTGAGGAAAGATGTGTTAATTTAATCATTTGGTTTTACTTTGCAGTATAGATCATAGTATAAATATAAAAAAATAGATTTATATTTGTTATCTGATATATTTGTAAAACATATTTATATGTATATTTATATTAGGTATTTTTTATCAAATATAATTTATATTTTAAAAAATCTATATAATTTTATAGATAATTGCAATTACTACATAATGATTGAAATCTTAGGAATTATGTTATTATTGAGTGTGCAATTCCACAGTTCTGTGTGACAAAGCTCTTCTGAACTGTTATGTTCTGTGACAAAAGTACTTGTCAATACTAAAGCTAACCACATTCTGTACTGTCAGGTGCCTTGTCATTGATGAAGCAGACCGGATGGTGGAAAAGGGCCACTTTGCAGAACTGGAATCTCTCCTGGAGATGCTGAACGATGTGCAGTTCAACCCCATGAGGCAGAATTTTGTGTTCTCGGCCACACTGACCATGGTGCACCAGACGCCAGCCAGAATCCTGCAGAAGAAGAAGGGCAAGAGGCTTGATCAGAGGAGCAAGCTGGAGCTTCTGATGGAGAGAGTGGGCATCAGGGATAAACCCAAAGTCATCGACCTGACCAGAAAGCAGGCTACCGTGGAGACTCTCACCGAGACCCGCATCCACTGCGACACCGAGGAGAAGGATTTCTACCTCTATTACTTCTTGCTGCAGTATCCAGGCCGCACCATGGTGTTCGCCAACAGCATCGATTGCATCAAGCGCCTCAATTCCCTGCTCACCATCCTGGACTGCACCCCACTACCCCTGCACGCCAACATGCATCAGAAGCAGAGGCTGAAGAACCTTGAGAGGTTCGCCGAGAGAGACAGGTAAGCTTTTCAAAGCCTTAGCATGTTTTGGGTTTTTTTTTTTCACAAGACTAGGAAGACTTATTCTTTTTGTTTTAGTTCGCTTTAATAATGATCAGAGTATTTGCCTGTGCTGTGTACACTATTTGAAGGCAAACATATTATACATGGTTTAAGAATTACAGGTTTTTTTTGTGGGGCAGAAACATGCCTGTCCCAATTGTTGATTGATTTTCTAAAGGAAAAGCATTCAGGAAATCTGATTTTTCTAAAGGAAAGTTCTTCCTTCACATCTGTGTGAGAAGCAAGGGCATCCACTATCTCAAGACTTTGTAATAAACATTATCATCTTGAGAAATGAGTCTTAATATTACAGTTGTTGGGTAAGTTTTCTAATTGTATATAGAAGATTAGTTTTTAATTCTCAGTGAGTCACTCTATATCCCTGTACATCATTCTTTTCAAAAGTTGGATACATTTCCTTTATAACAGAAGAAAATAAACTATTTAAAAGTCGTCTGGTGGATTTTGTCTGGATTTGTTTTCATAATACTAATTCCTCTTTATGTTTTCTTTTCCAGTTGTGTTCTCCTCACTACAGATGTTGCAGCACGTGGGCTTGACATTCCAGATGTGCAGCATGTTATTCACTATCAGGTAAAAATACCCACATCCACTGAAAATACTTTTTCTACTTGTTACTGTTCTTTAGAACAGTACTGTGGAACCCTGGTCTTAGAGAGCCACAGTTCAAATCAAGGATTTTCGTTACCCATCCCTACTTTAAGCACACTAGTAAGTGTTCCATTTGTTTTAACTTTGCTCCTCTTGTTAGGTTCCCAGAACTTCTGAAACATATGTCCATCGCAGTGGCCGGACAGCCCGTGCCACCAAACAAGGTCTCAGTTTGCTCCTGATTGGGCCGGATGATGTGATGAACTTCAGGAAAATATACAGAACGCTTGGAAAAGATGAGGAACTCCCCATGTTTCCAGTGCAGTCAAAATGCATGGTAGCAATAAAGGTAAGTAATGCCAGGTCATCACGTTTTACGCTGGTTTTGGTAATGCCTAACAGTTATTGTCTGCATTTCTAATGCATTTAGATCTGAAGTTTTTGTTCTTCATCTGAACAGCCACTTACTGTAAAATGCTAATGCTATTTCTTTCATTTGAAAAAAATAACTTCAAATCTTTAGATGCCAGGTGTGTTACATCATGAAGGGAAAGAATTTCTAGACATTAAAACTACAGTCATTGAGACTACATCTTTTTACTATGTATGTAACTACTGTTTCCTATGGGGAAAGGAAGTCCGTGATTTCTTAACATCTCCACTTTTGTTTCCAAATTAGGTCTAAATTGAATGCACCACTGTCAAAAATCTTATACCGTTTACCAGTCTTAAACTTTCAGAAGAATGATTTGCAACTTCTCTCAATGTGATTGAATCTGAGTGGATTTTTGTAATGCTTTTCTCTTGGCTTCAAGCTACTTGTGTCCAGTGGTATTATGGTTTAAGGTTCAGATTGTGCATTTGATTGATGTGGCTTTCTTTGTAGGAGCGTGTGAATTTGGCAAGGAAAATAGAGAAGATTGAATACCACAACAATAGAGCAAAGCACCACAATTCTTGGTTCCAGCAAGCTGCAGAAGCTCTGGAGATAGATCTCGATGATGATCTCCTCATAGGTAAGACAAATTTGTGTTCAGCCATCTACAATATGTTACAGTGCACTGTTCTTAATGCTACAAACAACAGGAGAAAAGCCCTGGGGTTCAGCAATTTGAAATCACAAAAACGAAACTCTTCCTTCATATGAAGAAATATGGTCAGGTCGGCAAACGTCCGCTGCAAAAACACATGCAGAGCATCTTTCACAGCTCCTTCTAAATTTAAAATTGCAGCATTCAGATGTAGAATGAACACTGGCTTTTTTTAAAGAGCACTCAGCCACAGTTTGTTTTATTAAATGATTAAAAATAATTCCAATTTTAAAATCACAGGCTACAAGTACACCCCCAAATCCTTAATTCCAGGCTGGGATTCCATCTCTTCAGATTTCACGTTCTACTCAAATGTCTGTAATTCTGCATTGTGTAACTTTCAGTTTTAGACTTTTAGATAAGTCTGTTTCATGGTGCATGCGACAAAGATTAGCAGCAGTAAAAACTCATAAAAGATGACAATTCTGGATGAAAAATAAGAATTCAGAAATGACTGTACTGAATTGTTTGCATGCATACCCAATTGAATTGGGTTCCCAATATATTTAATTAGAAATTTAAAAATAAAAATAAATAATATAATATCTCAAGAGGAATTTTGCATACAGATATTTTATGTTCATTTTATGTTCTCGCTGGTTAATTTAACACCAGTGAAACAATTCAAAGAGCAGAACAATGAGCTTGACAACGAGAAATTGAGAAAAGTTTTTCTAAACATACAAAGATTGTTTTCCGAGGATACAATTTCAGAAACTGGTGAAGAGGGCAGCTTTAATGTATCATGTAAAACCCCTTGAAGCTGACATGCCTTTACTGAACTTTTCTGATTTTATCACATTTTGAACTGAATTAGCGAAGTTCTTGAGCTCACCACAATGTATTTACTTGGTACCATACGTTAAAAATCTAGAAAGGCAGAATTCTGCCCTGGCACAAAAACCCACGTGGAAAGAAATGCACAGACTCTACAAACTGAATGAATTTCTTACCACACAGCTATGACGAACTGAAGAGATCTGGGTTTGGCATTCTTTCCATTTTTGAATCAATTTACCTATGAGAGCAAGTATTCTCAAGCATGAACCATTAGATTTTATAGTCCAGCATGAAAGTGAAGACAACTGTAGGCTTTGCATTAAACAGCACTGCAAGGAGATTTTTCAACAGAAATTGCATTGCAGCAGTAAGCTGTGAGGAGGATCGTAGTGATTTTACCATGTGTACTGAAGATGTTATAGATTCAAAAGGGCTTCATTGTGACCTCATGTTCACACTGAAGTGAGTTTAAAACAAATGTTTGTTCAAAACCTAATTCTGCCCACTTCCTCTTTCCTATAACTGTCATGCATTTTTCTGACTCTTTTGTTCATTTCAATGTCATATCCCTCCCTCTGCCCCATTGTTTCCTGTTGAAGCAGTATCCTGGCTTAACCTTCATGAAGAGGGGAGGGGGATTTCCAGCAGGAATCTTGCATCCTTCTAGTTAACCAGACTACTAATGATTATTTAAATACTTGTTTCATGTGATTTATTGCAAGGTGTATTTTTGTGAATGCTGATGTCCTAAGTAGGGAGGGATACATGTGTGAGAAAAGAGGGACATGATGCACCACTGTTAAATTGTTTAGATGGATATTGTTTGATGAAACCAGTAAACTTTTTTTTTGTTAAAAATAAGTAAGCATTTCTATGTTGTTATTCAGTTTCTATACCAATTGCGGCTCCTAATATACTTGGTTATTGGAGGAAATTTGGGGGGGGGGAAATTGTAGTTGCCAATCCCTGCCCTAGTGGGTTGTGATATATAAAGTGTTGTTTATACTGTTATTTTGACAGTTCCTCCACATTCTGTTAATTCCCAGTGATGTCATTTTTCATGATTGATGGTAAAAAAATGTGAAATTACATTAATTTCAGAATACACTTACACCATACCACAAGAACCATGTAATTGTCATGTTTACAGATTTGAGCAAAACATTTTTATGAGTGGCTGTTATAATCACCTATTCTACAGTCATTATTTTACAGTTACATTGTCTTCCTTCTTAGTGTGACTCACTGTTTATTGTCCATGTTGTTGACTCGAATTTCTAACTTCTTTTCACTTCAATTGAAATAAAATATTTGCTGGTTTGTGTAAGATCTAGTTTGCCTTTGCAGGTGGAAAAATGTATATGTAACCCTTGAGAGAGTGTGAGATAGTAAATTAAGTTGGTGAAATGCATTAGTGTGCTCACTTGTATATATTTTTATAGATGAGTTTGTATTCTCCAAAAGAGTAAAAGGAGCTTTTAGAAATAACCTTATTTCTTCAATGTGTTTTCAGGGAAAAGGAAGGATGAATATGAGGATAAGCAGCACCAACAGATGGTCAAAGGCATGAAGAAACACCTCAAACATGTGCTCTCTCAGCCTATATTTAAAACCATGATGAAAACTAAATACCCCACACAGATGGGCAGACTGCCAGTCTTTGACTTGCCTGCTGCTAATGTGGAGAGGGCACTGGACACCGTGTCAAATCAGAAGCAGAAGAAAAATAAGCATAAAAAATAGATTACATCAGTTTTGTCAATGATTTAACAGACATTTCAGAGTAAAATCCCACTTAACATTATAAATACAGCTATTTGAAATGCAGCATTTTGTTCATACATCTTTGAATATGGACATTGCAGCATGCATGTTCACTTATCACCTGAAATCCTATTTGAACATGGACTTTTTAAACAATCCAGTTATCAGAAAACAAATGAATGAAACTTTTCTTTTTTTCTTAATATTAATGCACAGTATACATCTTTACATAACAGGAAAAACTGAAATAAGGTTAATTCTAACCTTAGTTCCAGTTTGCAATTTTATACAGTTTCACTTATCCATATGAATGTAATTTTTTAAATCAAGATTTTAGATTTTAGAAAGTCTCAAATGTATGGAAGCATGCTAAATTAAAATACCATTGCTTTATAAGTACAACATGTAAGAAGTAATTATTGTCAACAGAAGTGCAGTGTAGCAGGTGACATCACAAATGAACCCACTTTTCTTTGTGTGTTTAGACAGGATATGCAACTATGAAACGTGCAGTGTACAATTAAAGAATCCTACACATCCTGTCCTGTCCTCCAAAATGTGTGCTCACCACCTGATATACCAGGAAGATAGTTCTGCTGCTTTTAATTCAATATGTGACATCATACATATCATCTTCCAAGTACCCTTCTGAGTTTAACAAAAATGGCTTTGGATTAAAAAAGTAAAATGGCACTAAAGTGAAACGAGCACTAGTACTGTACTTCATCTAACCTGTGTCCTCAAATGTGTACTTTCCAGTTTGCAAAGTGGTCTGATATGAAATGTTTTTACTGTAGTGAAACTTGCTTCTTAAACCATAAAACAAATGTGGGAAAAAGGTATGATACAGGATTACATGGAATGCAATGGAATACACTCTGTGTAATACCAACAATGGTTTATTCTTTTAAAAAAGGCAATACAAACTGTTTTGTGAATAATAAGATCCCTTCTCCATTACTGTTTATTTTCATAGAGGATATCATAGTGTGAGGTTTTGTACAGGAAATGAAGAGTTGGTTGTGTTCCTTCTGGAATGATGTGATGATTTAGGCCACTGTTTCCTTCCATGCACTCAATTTTAATACCGACACCAAGGGCTTGTGACAAGGTGAGAATCTCAAGATGGTCACATTCCATTGCCATGGCCTCTACCTCCTAGCAATCCAAAATGTACAGCATCAATACTGAGTTCACAAAGGGGCAAGAAAAGTGTGGTTTTAAGGTTAGACAGAGGTTGAGCTACACTAGCAAAAGTATTCCTAAAAGGATCAGATTCTCAGATACATTCCAAATACAATTAATGTTAGAGTACCAAACATTACATTTCTTATTTCATCCAATGAGCTATTTTCAGTTATTCCCAATCCAGGTCCTGGAGACTCACAATTGCTGGTTTTTGTTCCGGCTGCTGAGCTTTCAGTTACACAAATATACCCTCAACGGACTCAATAATAGGATTCATTTGAACTGCTTGACTATTTTCCTCCTGTTGAAGGTTACCTTTTAACTATTACATTCCATTAGTAAAATCACACACTTTTGAGTACAGAACTCAAATGTTCCCATCAAGCATCTTGTCAGCTCAATAAAGGCTTTAGGTAGGTAATGAAGTTGGGCTGGCATGAAAACCAGCAGGTGTGAAGTCCTTCAGGACCTGAATTAGCTAACCCTAATCCAGCATACAAACCTGATTACAGTAGTCTTTCAGATTGGGAGCTTCAACAAAGTGTTGGAAGAAATCAGCATGGTTCTGTATGTAGGCTGAGGTCAGAAGCCTCAGATAGTGGACTATAGCATCCGAGGTGGTCTGGTCATTGAAAAGGTTTAACAGAGTAGAGCCCTGGCCACCTTCCTGTGTCTGCTCAATAACACAGACAAACTGAAGAGACAAACATGTATGAAATAGATGTAATATCATTAGTGGTCAATGACAACTCCAAGATCAACAAGAATGATAAAGTATGTATAAATGTTATGTAATACTTCAGTATACTCACCGTATTGAGCAGGTCTGTGAACCTGTTCTCATCAAATCCAGCATACAACAGCTCACTCCTGCTCTGTTGCAGAGTTTCTTTAAAGCTTGAATAACGTTTTTTGTAAAAAAAAACAATATTGCAATTACAATTGTTTGCATTTCTGCATGTTTTCTGTATTACATATCAAATTAATTGGGCTATTACCAATTATAAATTAGATTCATATAAAAATTGAAATTTGAAATAGGAATGGTCTTTGGGGAAACTGGCAAATAACTGTTAACCTATTACAGGTTTAAGTCTCATAAACAGACTACTTTCATCCATCCTTTTTCTAACCTGTTTATCCAGTACAGGGTTGCAGACTTTTCAGAGCCTATCCTAGCAAGCAACAGGCTTAAGGCAGGGCACAGCATGGATGGGACTCCAGTCCATCACAAGCACACCATGGCCAATTTTCCCAGAAGCCAATTAAACCTAGCAATATGTCTTTGGACTGTAGGTGAAAAACCATGTGAACACAGGAAGAACATACCCAGGAAGAACGTACCCAGGTCCCTAGTGCTGCAAGGTAGCAATGCTAATCACTGCCACCTCAACAGACTTACAGTACCTATCTGTAGAATACAAAATCCATACTTCTGGTCATTTTAATACATTTATAATTGCCATATTCTTGTCCAACAGTACAAATAATGAAGCAAATATTGCAATGGCGAAGAAAGGAATTAACAGCCATCACATTAATTATTTTACTGGCTCTGCATACAAGCCCTCATTTAGAACTGAAAATGCCTCAATCCCAAAAACAATTTCACAAAGATACTGTAACCACAAAGACTCTGAATACTTACAATTGCAATCCCCTTGCATTTTCCAACAAAGACTCGAGATGGCCAAAGCTAAGAGCCCGGTAAAAGCAGTTCCCATCTCCTTTGATTCTTCGAATAGAAGCATAGCGTTGACTAATGTCCTTCCCAAAAACAAAGATGATACAATCTCCTTTTACCAATGAGCTCAAAAATGCCACAGTTCATGCTTTTCTGTCTTTAAATGTTGGACTTCGAATGGGACAAAAATAATAACCATAATAACAAATGTTCTTGGAAAGATAAATTGCCCAGAGCTGACGAAAATTTCTAACATTTGTAGGAGAATAGTTTTGACACTGCCATGATCAGTGATATGCTTTTGAACTGCTGTATGAGGAGGTAGATACTGTACCACACATCAGGGAAACTTCAAATTATATCATGTGTTTTTTGCTTAGGAGGGCTGTAAGATAAGCATGGGTCAACATGTTCGCGCAACAAGACACTTAGAATTATTCTAGCTACAACTGTCCTTGACTTTCATGCACTCGATCTGCTTCTCCAGCACATCGTCTGGATGGAAGAAAGAAAAGTTTGCTCGTCTAGTCAGGCTGCATTGGATGGAATAACATACAGTACGTGTACTGACTAATTTGCTATTGACAGTGCTTAGGGTCCGTCACCACAAATGAACAAAATTTAATAATTTAAACTTCGGGACAGATTAGTTCCACCTTCTTTAAACAAGAGTCTTAAATAGGAACATCATAATATTTTACATTAACCACGCACTAGGCTATCGTTATGAATTTAAACGCCTTGTTATTCTTTTTTACCGGCCTAATCTCCTAGGTTATTGTTATTTCGTTATATGCTGGGATAAAAATCCGAAACAAATGAGAACTACCTGATACTTTGTATCTTCTGGTTGCTCTTGCAGCAATGTCGAAATATCCAGTTTATGAGAGATCAATCGAGGTACTGACGTCTAAAAAACACAACTACTTCGATAAACATGAAGCAGGGTAGCACCGCACAACACTATTACACAGACTACACAGAGCATTTTTGTGATTAAAATAAAGACAGGATTCCATTTATCAGCCACGTTTCAAGTAGTCAAAAGACTTTCTTAAACACATCAGAAGGTAATACGGAGCACACAATTAGTAATAATTCCAAGCAAAATACTTAGTGAGGCACGATACATCTGTCTAAAATTATAACAAGACAGGGTATTTACCTGAATCACAAAACCATAACATACCAGATGCCTCTACATTTTAAGCTGTTTGAAACTCAGAGCATAGCATTTGCGTAGTTACAATTAGTACTTCTCTGGCCTGTAAACAACATAAAACTGTGTGAGCTGTAACTAACCATGTTTAGAGAAGACAGATAATGGAAAATGCAACCCCTTTAACATGTTGGTCCAAAATCCCTTCATACAAAAAACACAACAACATTATTAAAGCAAACGGACGTGCGCTGAAGAGACAGAAAACGAGTTTTTTCTATTAGAAAAATGATTGCTACACTGACCATCTGACGCTCCTGTGACGTCATAATCAATTTATTCAAAAGCGTTTTTTTCAAAACCTCGTTGTACTGTGCACCAGAGAAGCAAATGGCAACATTCGGTGGAAATCCTGTTATTTTGTATTTCCAAAAGTATCTTCAGGAGTTAATAAGGTCGATGTTAAGACTTCAGAACTCTGTAACAAAAGTAGCACTAATAAAATGAATACTTTCTCAGTTATTCTACAGTCTTGATATGTACGTCAATTTATAGGTTCACAGCTGAAATGGGTCTTTAGTAGCTGCATTTCGAAGATGCACAGGGAAGCGTTAGAACCTGCACAAATCTGTGCGGAAACAGCTAAAATGATACATTCTGCAACTCTACAAAAAGCAAAATGCTGCACATCTCTGGGTATTTGCGCTACAACACGACACTTTTATTTGAAACAAACAAAATGTATAGCTACAGTATACAACTAGAGTAAGACGCATATGAAAATCATTATAATTTTCAATACAAAATATGTATATAATTTTAACATTTTATAATATATCTGCATATATAACATAACATTCTAACACTTCCGCAGACTACAGCATCCGACGCAGCAGATGAGCCCTTCAAAAACAGAAGTGGTTTGTTAAAGGTAAAGTGATACATTTTTAATGCGACAGTTTCAGTGACACTGTAATTTTTGTTCTACAAGTACAGTATATAACCCTTTCCTTTAAGAAAATACCAGTGTCACTAATTGTAATCGAATCTAATTGTAATTGATCAAATATGACTGAATGGTCTGCTTCACTCATATTTGTAATACACGCTTTGCTCAATTAATTTACTTGTCATACAGGTACATGTGTGAGTTCCTCGGTTTTCTTAGATAGCTTCAGGAGCATAATCGTTTCTAAAATCTAACGTTTATCAGAAAGTCACTTATTCCTGTAAGGGTCATGGCAAGTCGTAATATGTCCAGAATCACAGGGTGCAAGACAGACATTTGAGAGATTTTTTGAGAATAGTCAGCATGCCTTTGATAGGTCCGAGGAAACCAGCAAAAACGTTTGATAAATTGTACACTACACAAAGAAGGCATTCCAATCTGGAATCAAACCCTGGGCCCAAGATCTAGGAGGCAGCAGCATTAATTGCTACATCACTTTGTCACTCTCATTTCAGAACTAAACATTTTTTAATGATATTCACCATGCTTTGCTAAAAAAAATGGCAAATTTTAATTTTTACAACATTAAGTGTCACATTATAAAAATAACGTCCAGGTACAATCTGGTGCTATGAGGATATTTATAATTCTGAGGAAACTAACATAGGTTTGATCAATGTCACAGCAATGTTGTTTTTAAAAAGTAATAATTTGTGTAAAATATAATGCAGCACACAAACACCTTTAAATGCCTGAAAATCTTCAAATGTGATCATCCGAGTTATAAAGAGTGTTGTTACACATTTCATCAGTCATACAACAACTTAGTTTTGCTTTATAAATAAAGCAGTTTTAAAATACAATAAAAAGTTTATCACATTTTGTAAAACACAAATTCTGCATTCATGTATAATGGTGTGAAAGGAAATTCTTAATTGTCATGACATGTCACAGTCTTTGTGTTTTCAGGCCAGATGTACTCTTAGGATTACTGCTACTCTTACTGGCTCTTCTCAGACGAGTTTTACTGTTAGTCTTCTGGAGTGTGGCTCCCCTGTCCTTGGTGTCTGTGAAGTCTGTGCTATTTGCTAATGCTGAGCTGGAGTCAGCAAGTTGTGTCGCTTTTCTTCCAACATCTATTTTTTCTAAAATGAATTCCTGCCAAAAGAGAGACGGATGTTATACTTTCAGCTACTTATTTAATGGAGAACTGCAGTCCCAATTTCTTAAAGCAGTTATTGAATATTATTAACTAAATAAATTCATTTAATAAATTATATTAAAAATGTACACATTTCAAATTAATCACAAAATAATAAACTTTGTGAAAGTATTGTAAGCGGCCATACTGTTGCAAACCGCTGGTCTCACCACAGCTGAGAGCGAGAGTTCCCATGAATTGCGATTTGAAGCAGCCCTTCCTGCTCACTAGTCACTGTAACGACTAATGTTATGCAGTGTACAAACACATAAGTACATGCAGAAATGCAGAAGACATTTCACCACAGATCACAATGATCTGCATGCAGGGTTAACAAGTAAGCTCCATTTATCTGCAAAACTATCTTGAAACCGAGAGCAATATTTCTATTGAATTAAAGAGATGTATTCACAAGCCTGCTTCTTTACAATGTATTAAGGCCACTTTACGTCACTGGAAGCTTTGTTACTCATTCTGAATCACAGAATATGGGACTGTGCAGACAAGGAAATTTAGTATTTTTTGTGATGTAGATTCAAGGTTTTACACGTTACAGTGTACAATTCACTTTCATTGTGGTTTGAAATGCACTCATCAATGCTAATTCTTTTTAGCCACAAAATATAAAACTATATTTTAAAGTTCCCCTTTAATTGCTCAATCAGCTTTAACATCTACATTTCTAAGATTAAAATCAAGAGATTATTTTATTAGCATCCTCTAGTGGCAGGTCAGTTGTATTACAACTATTTCTTTAGCTGGCCTGCCACACCATACAATTAAGAGGAGAGGGTTTACAAAGTATAAAATTACAAAGTGTTTTAATTGTGGAATTTTGCTACTGGTTTGATAAACACACTGTATGATACGTTTTATGGTTTAATATACTCTATATAATTTAAGGAACAAGTAATACATTTATTTCATGCTGAAAAGAGAAGAAAGAAAACAACGTTTCGGCCAAGGAGCCTTCTTCACACCCGAAGAAGTCTTCACAACCGAAACATTGTATTTTCTTTCTTCCCTTTTCAGCATGAAATAAACCTATTACTTGTTCCTTTGCAACCTACGCATGCTGACGCAGCTACCCACCTGTATATAATTTAATGTTAACATTTATTTTTAATTAGAAAAAAGAGAGGAAACAAATTCATGAAACAGAATTGAATTCTTCATCTTCTACATATTTTTAACAACTAAACCTACTGTATATGAGAATATTTTGGGGCCTGCTCATTATGTTTACACATACACATCTGAATTATCTGGGTTTAAACTAAGCAGCATCTTTGAGGTTACTCTGTGGTTTCAGTCTTCACCTTTATCATGTCCAGCATTGTTAATATGTTCAGATCCTCCAGTGGCCCATAATGATGTATGTAACACTGTTCAGCCAGATTAGTGATAGCCATCAGCAGACTGCCCAGCTCTTCACTCTATCAGTAAATAAAAGGTTTTAGAGAAACAGAAGGATGTGGCTTTAAAAGAAAACACTCCTAGGCATATTCTTCTTGTTTCTCTTTCTTTGAGATACTTATGGAATACCATAAACCTCTCTTTACCATTGTCTACCTCTGATCTGTCTTAATGCTTAACACTGAACCGTCTTCCTCAATGTTCCAACTCCAGGATTGTCACTTAAAACTCAGATATCCAGAATATTATCTGCCCTTCTCCTTTCCACTTTGTGATCCATTTACCTTTACTTGTTTCTCTTGTCTCTAGAAACTTCTCTCTCCTTCTGAATGAACCTTGGTTATTAGCCCCAATTTGCATTCCTACCCTCAGACATGTATTTCCTGATGCAGCTCTGCCTTTTCTAAACTTTCTTAGCATTTGCCATTTATTAAAGGCTCACTGTAAGACTCAGCAATGTGTTTTGCATTTTCTCTTCTTCCCTTCTCTGTCATTTCTGCTTACCTTCTGCTGGCTGCTTAGTTGATCCTTTTCTCCACTCTCCTACTGCTCCTGCCCACTTATTCTACTCCTTTGTTCTCATGCGGTGGAATATCATGCTCTGGAATCTCCTTCTTACCCTACTTAGACCACAACTGCGCATCCTACGATACCGTCGTCACTTTTAAAGGTATCACTTATTCTATCAACTATTTCCCTTTTCATTTTTAATTCTATAACACATCTGCAACTTAACAGTTCTGCATTGAATATTATTCACCTCCTGCTGCAAGGGTGAAGATGGGATGGAGTGAGAGATGTGAAAAGAAACACATATGGGGGTAGGTTAGAAGCATGATATTTATACATACTGTAAGTAGCTGGAACTCAGTGAGAACCTTTGTTCAAGACTCCACATGTTGGAGTCTTATACCTTATTGCATTATGTTTTTTTGTTATACTACACTATGCTATCTATTCCTTGTACTGTATTATATAAGTTCTATAGATCCCTAATAGTAAAGCAGTAGTATTGAAAACATCAAAGTAATCATCGCACCACTATTTCAAGAACTATTTAAAGATCTCCTTCCCCCCTAGTAAAATTTTTGTAGACTTCAAAAGTTGATATCCAAAGTGAAACAACTTTAAAAGATGTTTATATAATACTTTTTCTACCTTATCTCAATTTAAGCACTTTTTTTGTAATCTGAATGCTGTCTGATTGCAATCTACTGCTTCTATCAATAAATTTAAAATGCTTGAAGTAAAGAGCACATACTGTAGTGAAAAGGGCTGTATGAAGAGTCTGTATGAAGTCCCTACTGAAAAGTAGGGACTCAGGCTTGAGCATATACATTTCATAGCATGTGTTCTGTTGGTCACACCTGGTTTCTAAATTGTCCTTGGTGTAGGGTCAAATTCATTTCCAGCTGTTTGTTTCTCTCCTTAGCTCTGTCATATTGGATTTGGAGTTCAGATAGCTCACTGTTGGTCATCTGTATGAAAAATGCAAACAAAAAAATATGTGAAACTGAATTTAGAGTCAGTATCTAGTTGCTGAAAGGCAGAAGGTTTTTCAATTTATCTAAGTTTGACAACCAGAGACTAGAGTGAATAAAGGAGAAGTAGGACATTAATAAATCTGAGGTTGTCATGGGAAATGTATTCAAATATTTCCCATTTGTAACGTTCTTATTCTCAAGAAAAACATTTCTTATGTTATATAATGTAGGAGAAAAGAACTAATTATATCCCTATAGAAATAACTTCTGAAAGTTTATTCTGGTGAATATTGATCTATAAAATGTCCTTGTGTGTGCACCTTTCGATAGACTGGAAATCCATCAAGGGTATAGTCCTGTGACACTTTACAGATAATCCATGGAAGGAAATTTGCCATTAGATTTTAGCACTTTTACTGTGATTAGAATATGGTTTTATGAGACATTTGCTGTGATTTCATACTTTAAAACAGCTTTTCACTGTGTTTTGGAACATGGCAATGCCATTATAAACTAGAGTAAAAATGCTTTAACTATACTGTATATAGTAAATATACCATTGACCACAGTATATCATAGTATTTCCATGGTCTAAAAAAAGATGGCAAAATCAAAACAAATTAGCAAAAACCTTGGTTGAACTTTCATAACAGACACCATTAAGATTTTTAAGTCTTTCTGTTAATTAATCTATCTTAATAAGAAGAATAATTACAAAAGAACACAACCCACATCCATCTGGCCCTGAGTTAAAAATGAACTCAAATATTTTTTATACTTATAGCATTTATGGGTTTCATTACAGAAAATGACATTATTCTCTTTGAAGTTTCCTTGTAATGAAAGACAACTGTCAATCAATAAGGCTTCACTAAAGTATCTAGATATTTAATTGGTACACATGTTCATTAAGTAAAAGTAGATGAATTTGAGAATAAAGTTGGTAACACCTAAAAAAACAAATCCAATAAATGTTTGGAGTTCCCAATAAAGGCACCCATTCTAAAAATTTAATACAATGTGCACTGTTTAAGTCTTGGCATAAACTGTGCTTTTATCTGAAAGAGCCATAGGAGCAAGCAAGTGGTACTAATTGTTGTCACAGTCAAATCATTAAGTACACAGACTTAGACATAGTACATACAGTACACAACAGTGACTATCAATATTTAACATTGACCCAGTCATTCTCAGTGAGTGAGAATCCAGTCCCCATGGGGATGGAACACAGAACTATGGGACCTCAAATCAAGATAAATAGGACACACAGTAAAAAAGAAAAAGTAAAGATAGG